CTCCTTCCTCCCTCCTCCCTTCTCCCTCCTCCCTCTACACCTCCTCCTCCTCCTCCTCCTCCACCTCGTCCTCCTCCTTTTCCTCATCCGCCTCCGACTCCTCCTCCACATCATCATCATCCTCCTCCTCATCCTCCTCCTTCTCGACCTCCTCCTCCTCCTCATCCTCCTCCTCCTCTCTCACTCCTCCTCCTACTCCTCCTTCCTCCGCCTCCCCTCTCCGCCTCCTCCTCTTCCTCCTTCTCCTCCTCCATCCACCTCTCCGCTATTCTTCTGTCGTTTTCTTTCCTCCTTCCTCCTCTTACTCCTCCTCCTCCTTTCATCCGCCTCCTGCTTACCTCCTCCTCCTCCTCCGCTCCTCCTCCTCCTCCTCCACCTCCTCCTCCTCCTCCTCCCTTATACCTCCTCTCCTCCCCTCCTCCTCCTCCTCCTCCTCCTCCTCCTCTTCCTCCTCCTCCATCAGCAGCAGCATCATCATCATCACATCATCATCATCATCATCATCTCCATCATCATCATCATCATCATCAGCATCATCATCATCATCAGCCTCCTCCTCCTCCTCCTCCACCTGCTCATCATCATCATCATCAGCATCATCATCATCATCATCATCATCCTCATCATCATCATCATCATCATCATCATCATCATCATCAATATCATCATCATCATCATCATCGTCGTCGTCGTCGTCATCATCATCATCATCATCAGCATCAGCATCAGCATCAGCATCATCATCATCATCATCATCATCATCGTCATCATCATCATCATCATCATCCTCATCATCAACCTCATCATCAGCATCATCATCATCATCATCGTCATCATCATCAGCATCATCATCAGAAGCAGCAGCAGCATCATCAGAAACAGCAGCAGCAGCATCATCATCATCAGCATCATCATCATCATCATCATCAGCAGCAGCATCAGCATCAGCATCATCATCATCAGCATCATCATCATCAACATTATCATCATCATCATCATCATCATCATCATCATCATCATCATCATCATCTGTATCATCATCATCATCAGCAGCATCATCATCCTCATCATCATCATCATCATCATGATCAGCATAATCATCATCATCAGCATCGTCATCATCAGCATCATCATCATCATCAACATCATCATCAGCATCCTGGTCCTCATCCTCATCATCATCATCACCAGAAGCATCGTCATTATGATCATAATCAGCATCAGCATCATCATCGATATCCTCATCAGCATCAGCATCATCATCAGCAGCAGCTGCATCAGCAGCAGCAGAAGCATCATCATCAGCATCATCATCATCAGCAGCATCAGCATCCGCATCATCGTCGTCGTCATCAGCATCATCGCCAACATGATCGTCATCAGCATCATCAGCATCGTCATCAGCATCAGCAGCAGCAGCATCATCTTTATCATCATCATCCTCATCATCAGCATAATCAGCAGCAGCATCATCATCGTCTGTATCATCATCATCATCATCATCATCATCATCATCATCCTCATCATCAGCATCATCATCATGATCATCATCATCATCATGATGATCATCCTCACCCTCATCATCATCAGCCGCATCGTCATCATGATCATCATCAGCATCAGTATCAGCATCATCATCAGCATCAGCATCATCATCATCAGCAGCAGCTGCATCATCAACAGCATCAGCATCATCAGCATCATCATCATCCGCATCATCATCGTCTGCATCATCATCGTCATCATCATCAGCATCGTCATCATGATCGTCATCAGCATCATCATCATCATCGTCACTGGCATCGTCATCATCATCAGCAGCATCAGCCTCATCAGCATCATCAGCATCAGCATCAGCATCATCATCAGCGCATTGATCGTCAGCAGCATCATCATCATCATCATCATCATCATCATCATCATCATCATCATCATCATCATCATCATCATAATCAGCATCATCATCAGCATCATCAGAGACAGCAACATCATCATGGTCATCAGCAACAGCCTTACCATCGTCAGCATCATCAGCACTGTCATACGTATCAGCATCAGCATCATCAGCAGCAGCAACATCATCATCATCATCATCATCATCATCATCATCATCATCATCATCATCATCATCATCATCATAAGCAGCAGCCGCATGATCAGCCTCATCATCATCATCATCATCAGCATCATCATCAGCATCAGCATCATCACCATCATCACCATCAGCATCATCAGCATCGTCATCAGCTTCAGCATAATCATCATCAGCAGCAGCATCATCAACATCAACATCATCGTCATGAGCATCATTATTATTCTCATCATCAGACTCAGCCACATCCTCAGCGAAATCATCATCACCACAATAATCATCAGCATCATCATCATCGTCGTCATCATCATCATCAGCATGATCAGCATCATCATCAGCATCAGCATCATCGTCATCATCATCATCAGCATGATCATCATCGTCAACATTGTCATTATCAGCATGATCAAATCAGCGTCATCATCATCGACATCATCAGCATCATCAACATCATCATCATCATCGTCGTCATTATCAGCATCATTATCATCCTCGTCCATTTCCTCATCGTAATCATCATCATCATCAGCAGCAGCATCAGCATCATCAGAACAAGCATCGTCATCAGCAGCATCATCATCATCAGCAGAATCATCATCAGCAGCAGCATCATAATCATCAACAGCATCAGCATGAGCACATCATCACCATCATTATCCTCAGCAGCAGCACCATCAGCATCATCAGCATAAGCATCATCACCGTAAGCAGCCTCATGATCAGCATCCTAATCATCATCAGCATCAGCATCCTCAGCATCATCAGCATCAACAACAGCAGCATAATTGTCGTTACCATTAGCATCAGCAAAATCATCATCATCAGCATCATCGTGGTCGTCATTATGATCGTCGTCATCATCAGCATCGTCAGCATCATCAGCAGCAGCATCCTCAGCTGCATCATCATCAGCATCAGCATCAGCATCATCATCATCAGCAGCAGCAACCTCATCATCCTTCTCCTTCTCCTCCTCATCCTCCTCCTCCTCCTCCTACTCCTCCTCCTCCTCCTCCTCCTTCTCCTCCTGATCCTCTTCCTCCTCCTCCTCCTCCTCCTCCACCTCCTCGCCATCCTCCTCCTCCTCCGACCCGTCCTCCTCCACTTCCTCCTCCTTCTCTTCGTCGTATTCCTCCTCCTCCTCCTCATCATCATCATCAGCATCGTCATCATCGTCGTCATCAGCATCGTCATCATCATCAGCATCATCATCACCATCTTCAGCACCATCATCATCATCATCATCATCATCATCATCATCATCATCAGAATCATAATCATAATCAGCAGCAGCAGCAGCAGCATCGGCATCATCATCAGCATCGTCCGCATCATCATGAACAGGAGCAGCAGCAGCATCATCAGCAGCATCATCAGCATCACCATCATCAGCTACATCATCCTCATCATCATCAGCGTCATCATCATTAGTATCAGCATCATCATCAGCATCTGCATCAGCATCATCGTCATCACCATCCGCATCATCAGCATCATCAGCATCGTCCTCAACATCTGCAGCATAATCAACATCATCATCAGCAGCAGCATCATCATCAGCAGCATCATCACCAGCATCATCTGCATAACCATCAGCATCATCATCAACATCATCATCAGCATCATTATCCTCAACATCATCAGCATCATCAGCATCATCAGCATCATCGTCATCATCGTCATCATCACTGTCATCATCGGCATCATCATCAGCATCAGCATCGGCATCATCGTCATCATCAGCAGCATCATCAGCATCATCAGCATCGTCCTCAACATCTGCAGCATCATCAACATCATCATCATCATCATCAGCAGCATCATCAGCTGCACCATCACCATCATCAGCATCATCACCATCTACATCCTCATCATCATCAGCAGCAGCATCACCAGCATCATCTACATAACCATCAGCATCATCATCAACATCATCATCAGCATCATTATCTCAACAGCATCAGCATCATCAGCATCATCGTCATCATCGTCATCATCACTGTCATCATCAGCATCATCATCAGCATCGTAAGCATCATCATCCTAATCATCATCAAAAGCAGCATCATCATCAGCAGCAGCATCATCATCATCACCATCATCATCACCACCACCACCATCACCAGCAACATCGTCATCATCATCATCATCATCATCATCATCATCATCATCATCATCATCATCATCATCCTTATCATTTGCAGCAGCATCATCATCAGCATCATCGTCATGTACAACGTCATCAGCATCAACAATATCATCATCATCATCACCATTATCAACAACAACAACATCATCATCCTCCGCCTCGACCCTTTCCTCCTCCTGTTTCTCCTCCTCCTCCTTCTCTTCCTCCTCCTCCTCTTCGCCTTCTTCCTTCTCATCCTCCAGCTCCTCCTCCTCATCATCAGCATCATCAGCATCAGCATCATCAGCAGCATCATCAGCATCATCAGCAGCAGCAGCTGCTGCCGTAGCAGCCGCAGCAGCAGCAGCAGCATCATCTTCATAATCACCACAATCAGCGGCATCATCAACATCATCCTCAGCAGCATCATCATCAGCATCATCATCAGCATCATCATCACATCATCATTATCTTCATTAGCATCATCAACCGCTTGTGCTCATTAGTATCATGATTACTATTTATTTCTCCTCCTCCTCCTCACTCCTCCTCCTTCTGCTCCTCCTCATCCTCATCCTCATGCTCATCGTCCTCATATTCCTCCTCCTCCTACTCATCATCCTTACGTAGGATCATCATCCTTCCCCTCATCCCTCCTCCTTTCCTCCTCTCTCCTTCTTCTCCTTCTCGTCCTTCTCCTCCTCTCGTCCTCCTCCTCTTCCGTATCTTCCTCGTCCATCTGCCACTGCTTTGGCTCTGTGAGCACTGCCCAGGGCAGACCGGCGGCGCCGCATACTGCATCGGCGGGGGGTGGCCAGGTATCTGGGAGGCATGCCGGAAGAAGACGAGAAGGCTGAATCGGGAGGAAAGGGCAACGAAGGGGGGGCCAAAGAGGACGAGGAGGAGGAGGAGGACGAAATCGCGTGGACGAAGACGACTCGCGGAGGATGAGGAGGAGGAGGAGGAGGGCGACAACGACGACGACGGAGAGGTCATCGCTGATAGGAAGCTGGGCTGCTAACGAAACGTGATGAGGGTAACCAGAGCGATGGAGGGGCATGAGGTATGGCGAGGGGCGGCGGCAGGAGGGGACGTAGGGGACGCAGGGAGGGGAGGCTGGTGCGGATGGCATGCGTAGGAGCAGGGGTCGCTGCCCTCTTCACTCCTCCTCCTCCTCCTCCTCCTCCTCCTCCTCATCATCATCATCATCATCATCATCATCCTCCTCGCCGACCCCCTGGACGACTTCAACCTTCCTAATACTCATCATCTTCCCCTTCCTCCCGCTCATCCTCCTCCCTCCAACTCCTCCTTCTCCTCATCCTTCTCCTCCTTCCTCTTCCTCCTCCTCCTCCTCCTCCGCCACTTTCTCCTCATCCGCCTCCTCCTTCCTCTCCTCTTCCTCCTCCTCCT